TGAAGAATCACTGGGGTGGCCCCATGCCTCAGACTCTAAGGGCCACAGTCGGTGCCCCCTCTAGAGGGGCACTTGGGAGTGTCTTGGGTCATACTCCTTAGTCTCTGTCTGGTAAGGAAGACCCAACCGAACCTAGCAGAGCTGGGCAGCCAGGTAAGATAGAGAGAAAGGTGAACAAGACCTTCAACAACTTTCATTTGCAAATATTTTGAAAACTTACAATATACCTGGCACTGTGCTAAGCTCTGGGATTCAACCATGCACACGACAGGAGTGATTCCAGCAGGGGAGACAGGTGATGGTGACAACAGCTATCGTTTACTGACCACTCATTGGAGGCAGTGTACTTTGTATATTTTGGTTCATTAAGTATGAACCATACCTCTGTCAAGTAGGGGCTCTAACTTTCCCCATTTTCTAGATGAGGCGGTTAAAGCACAGAGAGTTTAAGTAACTTGCCCAAGCTCACACAGCTGATAGGAGGTGTGGCTGGGATAAGAGCCTAGACATTTGGGAATCAGAGGCCACCCATGTAATGGCTAAGCTATACTGCCTCTAAATAAGCAAGCAACCTAAAACAAGAAAACAGATTGTGGTTCCGGCTCTGTAAGAAACAAAATATGGAGAGGGGACAGAGCTACTTTAGGCAGGGCAGTCGGGCGGGCCTCTCTGAGGAGGTGGCATTTAAAGCTGGAATGAGGGAGGAGACTGAGCTGGTCATGGAAAGAGCAGGGGTGAGGAGCAGAGCACTCTGGGGGAGGGAAGAACTTATGCAGAGCCTCCGAAGTGGGAAAGGGTTTACTGGCTTCAGGAAACTGAAAGGCCAGGCTGTGGGGTGGGGGTGGGGGACTGAGTGTGGAAGGGTGGCAGGAGATGGGTCAGGAGGTGGGCCGGCCCCTGTTCAAATACCACCTCCTTGATGCTACCTCTGGGTCAGCCGTTCCCTCCCCCAGAGCCCCTTTCCTCACTTCTCAGCCACAGCCCCTACTTCACCCATGACCATGTCAGGACCTAGGAGAGCCCAGGGAGTGCCCTCAAAGGTATTAAAATGTACCTACATATATATCCTTACACACAGTTTGTGGCTAAAAAATTGAAAAGAATTTTTATGACTATTCCTTTTGAAATCATTTTGCCAAGACAAACTCGATTTAATGCACGGGCTTCTTGATTTCTGGTTTCCTGGCAATCATCACACATAACTGGAAATTCTAGACAATTCTAGAAAATTCTCAAGAATTCTAGAAAATCGAACTTACAATTTGCCCTCGATGCGATGAAGTTTTTACAAACACGAAGTGTCATAATTACTAAAGTTGTCATAATATATTTGGCAGATGTGTAATATAACAAATTTTAATTATGACTTTGCCCCCTTTTTTTGAACTTCTGAGTCCTTACATATTTTTTTCAGGTCCCAAACACTACCAGGCATCACAGAAAAGCTTGAGTGCCCCAACGCTGTGGCTGCCGGTGCTGGGGAGGAGTGGCCCCGTCCGCTCTGTACACGGGTGGGCCCATGCATCCCTCTCCCCAGAGGGAGCGGGGGTGTGTGTTGGGGGGTGCAGACCCTGCGGGTCTGGTAAGGACTCTCGGCTTTCACACACGGTGAGACGGTGAGACGGGACCCAGCTACCGGAGCAGAGGAGCGACACGGAGCTCCCGGAAGGCAGAGGGAGTGCTGTCGCTCCCCGGCTGCCAAGCACCAGTTCTGGCACACAGTAGGGGCTCCGTGAAGGTTTACTGAGGTTCCCTGGAGAGTGAGCAGGCTCTGGGCAGCAGGCCCCTGGCTCCGACGGGTGTGAGGAAGGCTGGAGACCCAGAGAAGGTCACCGGGGACCAGGTCCGGAAAATGCCCACAGTCCTAGCTCAGCAGACCTACTCTTTGGCAAGTGGGCTCTCCAATAACGGTACCCCTGGGTAGTGTCCCATGCAGCCGCTTTCTCCCAAGGACACCTCCCTTACTTTCCCCTCAATTCCTTCTGGGAGGAATTTCCCAGAATCATAAAGCAAGGGTAAGAGTTGATCTGGCCCTCTTGGGATCCGTGGCTGGAGCTGTCCTGGGCTGGAGCCCAAATGCCCACTGGGTGGCAGCAGAGAGCACCTGTCAGCTCCAGAGCCCTGGAGAGAGCAGTGGACATGGCCTAGGGCAGCGGTTCAAATCTGGCCCTGGGCTGCAAGGAATCCTCCGACCTGGGACCTTGAAAAACCACAGATTAAAGATCTTCACCCCTGCCCTACTGGAATCTGGGAGAGGGGTCCGCTCACCAGTTAAGAGCCATTCAGATCTTGAACATGTGGAAAGTAGGACAGGATAAGTGCGATGGCCAAGCCCCATTCTCTTCGTCCTTTCTTCTAAGTTCTAGACTCTTCTCCTGTCTAGACCCAAGTGGCCCTTGTCACTACTGGCGGCGGATGAGGGTTGGGGTGGGGAGGCTAGGCATACTGACCCAAGGGTGCTTGAGCTCAGTGTGGGGCGGCCTTCCTGGAGAGCTGGATGGGAAGTGACCACCCCTTCTTCCATCCCATGCCAGTCAGGGCACACTGAGCTGGTGGAGGAAGAGGGCTGGGCCAGGTGGTTTCAAGGTCAGATGGCCTGGTGTGTATCCTGGCACAGCCTCTTACTAGCTATGGGACCCTGGATAATTTGCTCAAATGCTAAGCCCCAGTTTTCTCCACAGTATAACAGGAGCAAGGAGTCCATATGCCACATGAAACTATTATGAGGATGAGAGAGAATTCATGCAAAGCCCTGAGAGCAGCACCTGGCACATGCCAGGCACTCAGTGCCTACGGTTACCATAAGCTGTCAGGTTCATGTCCATCACAGGGCTGGCTGGGTGGCCATGGGGTTGAACAGTGGTAATAAGCCTCCCCACATGAGGCTGAATGGGATACAAGGGTGAGCGGAGGAGAAAGCCTCACAGATGTGAACCCCAGAGCAGAGCACATCAAGCGGGGTGCTCTACCCTGGCTTTCTTCAGTTTCCCCAGGATGTTGGCTTCCATTCTGGACAGCTGAGGCTTCGGCCACATCCCCTCCACTCCCCGCCCAAGCCGGTGTGCATCCTGCATGCAGCACTCGGCATGCACAGGGGCCAGCCAGACCTGGAATATTCCATGCCAGAAAGTCCCTGGCTGAACTTCACACCCCTTCCTGGGGGTAGCCCTGGGGCCAGCCTGCAGGGAGCTGACCCAGGCTCATGACTGCAGTGACAGAAGAGGTGGAGGAAAGGTGCTGGGGGCAGGGCTGAAGCGTGCACCATTTGAAGGAGGGATGTGCACCTTGCCAGGGGTAGGTGGGGGCTCTCCTGAGGGGGTGGCCAGGGTCCTGGGGTGTCAGGGCTGAGCTAACTCTTGCGGCCTTGGCACTGTCCCTTGGGCTGCCTGCAGTTCCCTCTGACAAAGTCCCTGAGGACTGGGTGAGGGCTTCCCTCCTACCTCTGACTGCTCTCACCATGCAAGAGAGCTTCTGGAACTCTGCTCCAGGAGCTAGCCCAGATGGAAACATTAAGTCTATCAGCCCCACATGGGTAGGACCATAGGGCCCATGTGAAAATGGCAGACACCTCTCAGAAGGGTAGCCTGGCATTTCTGCTGTCCCACCACTTACTGTGGTCACGTCAGAGTCTGGAGGGGTCATCTCCACCAGGTTGATGTAGTAGGGAGCATCCTTCCAGGTGGGGTGGTTGTCGTTGATGTCCAGGAGGGTGATGTTCACCTGTGAAGCCACAAGGGGCATTGTGGGATGCAACCAGCCAAGCTGCACAAGGGCAGGGCCCACAGGGGGGACACACTCAGATGCCTATGGGGCATCTTGGTATTAGTTCCACTGGCTCTATCACTTCAGGGGCTTCAGGGCCGGGCCTGGGCTCTAAGCACCGGGGGAAGCCAGGTCACTTTAGGAAGAGAGGGTTTAGATGCTGTCCCATGAGGATGCAGAGGAATGGATGAGGTGACCCCTGAATCCTTCCTGTGACCTGGGACTTCTCCACTTACCCCTACTCTTGGCCGGAGGTGACTGATGGGGAGGTTTGGAGTCAGGGACCTGGCCAACTCTCTTGAACTTCCCAGTCAGCCTCGGCTACAAGCCAAGTAATTTCTCTGCTCACCTGCCACCCAGGTAAATTATTTACAGGGCTCTGAATCCTATTAGTAGGAGCCTCCCATGACTGAATAGGGTGCTGGGGATTCTTCTGCCAAGTCCCTGATCAAGCCATAGGGAGCCCAGACCTCCAGCTGGGCAAGAACAGGGCAGCTGCTGCGGGCAGGTGAGGGCCGTGGGGAGGTCAGGAGAAGGCTCCCAGGGGACAGCCCGAGCGAGGGGATGAGGGTCAGGGAGGGGAGGGGGCGGAGCCACCTGTCCTAAGCCGTCCTGCTTCCTTTCCCACTGGAGGTCTTTTGTTTCTCGTGGTCCCTGCTCTCTTCTACAGCCTGGAGCTCAGGCAGGACCCTCAAGTGTCTTTCCTCTGGCTTCCTACTCTCTGAGGCCCTCGGTGGGCTGACAAGGCCTTGGGTGGGAGTTCTGGGCCTCCGGGGGTCCCACTTGCTCATGATGGGAATACTTAGGCATCGTGTCTCAGCACCACAAGAGTGGGCATGGGTGGTGACAAGCCCCCAGGGACCTCCCAGGGGCTTGCTTCCTGTCCTGAGCCACTCTTCCTGGCAGGAACACCTGCTCCTACAGGAGCCCACAGGGAGGGCCCTCTGGGGCTCACGCCTTCTGCTCCCCATCCAGTTGATCTTTTGAGGGCAGGGGAGAAAACAGCTCCTCCCGAGTGCCCCCATGTCCCGGGGGGGTGCCTTTCCTCCGCACAGCTGTGGTGGCCGCAGGGCTGGCCTCGGTTGATGGTGACTTGGCACTGCTGCCCTCATTCCGCTCCCACAGGCCTCGCTGCCCTCAGGACGCAAGTGCGGCCTGAAGATGAGCTGGGGAGCAGTGGCCTGGCTGGTGAGCAGGGAGCTGGGGGCACGGAAGGGGTGGGCACTCACGGTGGCAATGCCAGTTTTCTGGTTGTGGCCCACGCCCCCATCCACAGCGCGCACAATGAGGATGTATTCAGACTTCGTCTCACGGTCAAGCAAGGACGTGGTGGTAATTTCACCTGCAGGAGAGATGGTGAGTGAGAGAGCATTTGGGTGGGCCCGGGAGAGACCTGGGAAGGAAGGGAAGGGTGGGGGGAGGAGAGATTTTTATGTGATCAAAGGATCCAGCAGCGTGTGTGTGCGCATGTGTGTGTGTGTGTGCACGTGCTGGGGGTGGTGACGTGGTGCTCACAGAGGGAGAGGGGACAGCACCAGGCCTTGGGAACTGGAACCCCAGAGCTGGGCAATATAACCCCCTGATGAAAAGGTATTTTCAGTTGACGCAGCCTCTAGGCCAATGAGGGGTTAGGGGCTGGGGGCAGGATAGCCGCTGGCTGCAGGCTCTGTCACAAAGGACCTATGTTTTAGACTTCTAACATGACTTTACTGGCTTTATTACTTGGAACGCAATACTTAAATCCTCTGTGCCTCAGTTTCCAGATCTGGTCAGAAGGGAACAATAATAGGACCTACCTCACAGGGCTGTTGTGGGATTTAGTAAACATCATGGAAAGCTTAGAACAGTGCCTGGCACTACTGATTCTTAAAGTTGCAGAAATACAGCAGTAGGACTGAAACACACCAGGTGTTTCACAAATGCTCCAGCTTGTGACTCATTACTGGGCAGTTCATATATAGTACACTGAGAATAGTTGTAAAAAATTTCCCTAATTACCTTGTGAGTGATATAATTGTATTGCCTTGAATTGTTTTAGTGTATAAGCAAGTTATTCGATAAACATAAACATTTAAAACAGTCCATAATTTTTGTCAGCCCACTTTTGGCTTTTTGTGTGTGTATAATCTGGAATAATTTGGAAGTCACTGTGATAGTGGTGTGCTGGTAAATGTTTGACAACCAGCTCCCCAAAAGAAAAAAAGGGCATTTTCAGTTGAGGGAGCATCTATACTGATGAGGGGTTAGAGTCTGGGGGCATTTGGGTGGGCCATGGTATTATATTATATAAATGGAATATATTATATTAATATTCCCACTTGGGCCCATTTCAAGCTACCAGCTTAATGTCATTGAACAAGGAGTTGGGAAGAGATGCAAATAATTGACTTTCGGGAATGGGTGTGAGCCAGACAAGCTGGCTTCATCACATTATGAAGGCCATTTACCCTCTCACATGGGCTGTGGGAAAGAGCCTATGCTTTGAGGACAGTGAGATGAATTAGATTCTGGCCCTTTCCAGATGCTTGTCCTTAGGAAAGTTACTTCATTTCTTTGAGCCTGAGTTTTCTCACCTGTAAAATGGAGATTAGCATGCCTTTGGATCTAAGCTGTTGTGAGGAGTAAATAATTATTGGTGAGGCTCCCAACACTCTGAGGATGCTAATTTCCTTCCATTGGATTGTAAGAGTTCTTCAAGGGCAGGGACCGTGTGCTCTCCATCCTTTTATCCCATTGCCTGAGCTATGTGACCTGGGGCAAGCTACTTAACTTCTCTGTGCTTGGTTTATTCTACCATAAAACAAGGGAGCTGAGCCAGATGGCCTCACGTTTCCCTCCTTGCAATGCTGGCTTGTCCTCCAGCCTGTGCAGGGCTGAGAAAGGGGCTGGGGGTCGGGGGCAGGGCAGCCGAGGTGCTAAGGCCAGGAATGAAGGACTGGCAAAGGTCTGCCCGCTGAGTCACACTCCTTGCTGGGGTGGTGTCGAGTAATTGGCAGGGCGAGGAAGAAATTAATCTCTAAAAAGTTTTAAACATGAACTTGTCGGCATGATAGATGGCTCCTCCTGTCTGGGAAATTAGATTCAATTAAGGCCACCTTTGTGGAGCAGGCCTGGCTAATTTGACTGAGGAGCTCAGAGGAAAATGCTTACACCTTTGGATCTGAAGGAGCCATGTTAAAGCAGCAAGAAAATGTCCATGTCATTATTAAAAGCCCCAGGGTGGAGATGGGGTCCCTGGGTGGGAAGGCAGGGCAGGTGCTGAAAGGTCAGTGTACCTTGTCACTATACTGGGTGGCAGTATGTGGCTCTACCATGGCTTTATATAATGTAGCATTTAAAGTTTGAACTCTGAAGTTCAGGTTCTGTGGGTCCCTAGTCAAGCTCCTTTCTCTCTCCTGCACCTCAGTCTCCTCACCTGGAAAATAAGGATAATGCTAGTACCTGCCTCACAGAGCAGGGAAGGTCAGATGGGATGACGCTGGTCAGAGCTCTTAGAACAGTGCTGAGAACTTGTTAATTAATGATATTCCTTGGAGCCCACTGGGAATGTTGGCCACTGTGGGCAGATGCTCCTGAGAGCAGGGAGGAAGGCCCCTGTTTTGTCAGAGAGGGAGTGAGAGGCTCAGGATGGCTCTGGATGCATTGTCTTTGTACACATCAGCACCAGCCATCTGCTCCCCCAGCTTCCAGGGAAAGGGGACGAGAGAAAGATCGAAGGCAGACTTTTCCAGGGAGGCATGAACAACAGGAAGGCTTAATGCCCTGCTGAGCCCCTGACCACTGGTGGTGAGGATGGCCATTGTCCTTTTCCCTTTACAGGCTTGAATGAGTGCTAGAAAGTAGTTGTCAGACTAGAGACTACATTCCCCAGCCTTCCTTGCATCTAGGCAGGACCATTGCCTGGTTCTGGCCAATGAGATATGGGCAGATGTGACATATGTCGTCTTCAGGCCTGGTTCCATAACCATCTTCTTATGAGATACTCTATGCACTTTTCTCTTCTGCATGACCTTGGAGCCATGGTATGGAAGTGTCCCAGAATCACCAGGGGGAAGGCTGTCTGCTGAACTCTTATGGGACTGCTGTGTGAGTTGGAATTTCTACTGTGTTAAGCTATTGAGATTTCAGGGCTTGCCTGTTTAGCACCCACAGTTCCCAACCCAATACAAAAATGGGTACTTAGAAGTGGGGTGCCTTGCATGGAACCCCAGGAGGACAGGGATATGTCTTATTCCATTTTGCACCAGCTTCCAGCAAAGCACCTGGCAGACAGCAGGCCCCCACTGATATCTGAATGAATATGTGAATGAATGTCCAGGAGCCTCATGTTACTTCCCAGCTTCTGGCTGAAAAGCCTGGGGTCTCTTGTCGGTTTTCTTCTGCACCCTCTTCCCTCCCAGCTTCAAGAAGGAGAGAGATCAGGAGGGAGGCATCTGGAGCAGTGAAGAAGGTACAGGAGAGTTACATGGGCTGAGCAGGGGAGCTGGGGCTGGGGATCCCTGGGTGAAAAGACCAGAAAAAATAATAATCTGATTTTGTGAGCACTTACTTCAGGCCAGGGATTACTCTAAGGGTGTTCCCTGCAGTAATTCATTAAATGCACACCACAGCCATAATATGATCACTCTCATTTTGCAGATGGGGAAACTGAGGCACACCATGTATTAAGAGGAGAAGCTGGGATTCAAGAATGAGGTCAGCAGCTGAAGGAGGCGGGCACTTAGGCCTGAAGAAGGGCACCCCTGAGAGTGGTATGTCAGCCGACTGTTTGTAGAATAGAACATGGTAAACAGAACAGGGGTCTTCACCACTGAAATCCATTCTTTAGTGGGACAGTTCTTGCTGTGATTTTTTTTGGGGGGCGGTGAGATCAGTAATGGCACTCAAATGAATATCTCAGGGATAACACTGAGGAAAAAACCGGCTGCCTGCAAACAGGAGGAGACTCCTGCCCAAAGGCAGGCTCCCTGGCTGGGCCTGCAGTCAGCGGAGGCGCACAGGACCACGGCCGTGGGGGCTCACCTGAGCGGGCGTTGATCCGAAACTGGGAAGAGCCCTCCAAGGAGTATATGATGGACTCCTGGCCATACTCCCGGGAGCGGTCCAGGTCTGTGGCATTCACGAACAGCACTGTGGCACCTTTGGGGACACAAAGGCTGGGCGGTTGCTGTTCATTTGGGCTCCCAGCCTTGGGTCTGGGCAGCAGGACCAGCACGGGCCCAAGGGGAAGTCCTGGGACCTCCAGGTGATCAGCCCTCAGGAGGTGGGAAGCCTGCCACCGGGTGACTCAGGGTGAGTGGGCTTAACCACCAGCTCCCTGGGCTGTCAAGACCAGGCTCCACGGAGGTGGGCCTGGAGCCTGGGATGGCCCCTCCCAGGGCCCTCCTTCCCCCTCCCCAGCCTCAGGAAGCACACGTCTGCCTCTTCCCCACCCCTCCATGGCTGCCCACCGTATTAAATACACTCACATTAGCCAGCTTTGACTTTGAGTCAAAAAGAAATGAAGCTCCACATTAAATTATTCTACATTTATTATATTCAATTTCTGTCTTGTTTTATCTTGTTCACAAGGGGAATTTATAAGGTGTTTTATTTTCTCTTTAATGTTCAGTTAAGGACCTCACCTTCATTTCTATCTGTGAAATCCTGGGTGGCAGGATCAGCCTTTCCGGCTGCCCTGGCCAGACCCTGAGAGTGGCTTGTGCTGAGGCCGTGTCCACCAGGGCTTTGGGCTCCAGTGCCCTCCTGCCACCAACTGCCAGCTCTGGCTGGGTGGTGAAGATGGTTAGTGTGTGAACTCCTGCAGTCCTTACACCTGGCTGGAATTCCAGGGGAACTCTGGCAAGTGCCTTGACTTGCCTGAGCCTCAGCTTCTTCCTCTGTAAAATGGGTCTACTCACTATAAAGCCCAGCTTATGGAGTTGTTGGTGAGGATCCCATGGGATAGAGTGTGCAGAGCATGGGCTGCACACCACGGTTACTGTTGTGCAGATGAATCAATGGTCCCTAGGGGAGTAAGGGCCCAGGCAGGGGGCTGCGGGGTAAGCAGATCATCCTAGCCCTTTCCAGGGAGCCGTGGGGCCTCTGACCTGACTCTCAGTCCTGCCTTGAGCAGAAGGACAGGTACACAGGCGCTAACACACCCCTTGATCCCAGAACACTCAAAGTGGAAAGGATGAAGCCCCCTGATGAAAGCTTCTCCTCAGGAGTGGCCCTGGGGACGGTGGGGGTGCAGGGCGTGGCTTCAGCAGTGACATTCTCTGGGGTGGGCCTGACTGGGACAGGGAAGGGGGTGCTGGGCGCAGCCTGGCACCCGCCCAGCAAGTTATCAGACACCAGGAAGGTACCTGGAGACTCTCTTCAGAAGGTGCCAGGGAAGGTCACCCCTGACCCCAGCTATCCCTGACTCCTCCAGCTGCTGCAGCAATTCCTGATATGGGCTTTTCCCCACTAGAACAGTCCACGTGAGGGGTAAGTGTGAAGCTGTCAGCCTGTGCTGAGGACAGAGTGGGTCCCCTGTAATCTGAATGTGGAGCTGGTGGTCCTGGGTCTGCGAGCTGGGCCCTGTCGCCTGAGACATGGCCCAGGGATGAGCTTCCCACTCATGTCCTCATAAAGGAACACACACCATCGTGGGCCATCCTGGGCCCTGGGACCTGCCTAACAGCACTGTAATCTCAGACCTCTCTGCACGCTCTTGTTCAATCAAGGCCATTGACTTAACCATCAGTCATTATTTTCTTCTCTGCTAGTGCAGCCTCAGGACAGCAGGGACGCAGTGCCCAGCAGAGTGTTTGCATATAGTAGGTGCTCTGCGAAGAGCTGTCGGCTGGCAGGTGACTGGAGAGCTCCAAAGGCTTTCCTCATTTGTCGTGGGCATGCCTGCGGGCTCTCTGCCTTCACACCCTCCCCTGGCCGGCCCGTACCTGCCATGATGTTCTCTACCACGGACACGAAGTAGGCAGGCTTGCTGAAGGTGGGAGGGTTGTCATTCTCATCCTGGAAGGAAACCAGACAGTTTGCAGGAACCACGAGGGCGGTTGTGGCTGGTCAGCTGTCCAAGCCAGCATCAAGAGGAGGCTGGGAATAGCTGGTGCTGGCATACAAAGCTCTGGCCTTGTGTGTAACCAAAGCCAGGTGGGGTGTCACAAGGGGGCCAGATGTCCCTTGGGCTTGGCTATAGTTCAAGGAGACAGGACAGGACTTGAGGAAACATGGGGGAGTCGGGAAGGGACAGTGAGGGTTGAGGAGATGGAGAAGGCAGGCAGCAGGGGGAACTGCCCAAACCGCCTGCAGGTGTCAGCCCTGCTCTCCCCGCTGGCCTTCCAGCTGAGCCCCAAGCATACTCCAGCTGCCCACCTCACCTCACCAGCCCCCACTCTGCAGATGCCCCCTCAGAGCTTCCTTCCTAGCTCTGCCAAGATGATGGTGGAAGGGTCTAGGAACCCTCCTAGAAATGTAGGGGAAAGGAACATCCCACCTCAGACGACACTGAAGTAGCCAGCTGCAGACAGGGGCAGGTGGTCCCCAGAGCCTGAATTCCAGGCCCCTTGGCACACACAACCCCCTGGGCAAAGCCCAGCCTGGAGCCCAGCACCTCCAGTTCTGGGGCAGTCCCTCCTCGGGCACGGCCTCCTCCAGTGACCAGGTCAGAGGGACGGCGGCCCGGGGCTGCTGCTGGGCTGAACAGTGCAGTGGGGCCCTGGCGCAGCCTCTGCCTCCTCCAGCTCCTGCTGCTCCTCCATGCACCAGCTCCCTTCTCCACAATCAGGGGAGACTTTAAGACTCTTGTCCTCACCAACTGCTTTCTGCAATCACTCAACAAGAATTTCTCCAGGTCCCTCCTGGAGGAAGCCTTGCTGGCCCGCCTGACTCAGCCTTCTCCCCTTCGCCCAAGAGCCCTGTGCGGAGCTCAGGGTCAGACTGGCATGCAGCCCCCTGGGGAGTCTTAGGCTGCAGACTTGAGCAGGGCATGCTCCAAGGGCCTCACTTCCCCCATGGAATGGGAAGCTCTTTGCGAGGAAGACTCTTATCTAGAGTAGAGTCCCTTTTGCTGGACTCACTTCTGGCCGAGCAACAGTGAAACAGAAGGAGGCATGACGTTTGGCTGCCTACCCCTGGGGACTTCAGAGAATCCCATTGTTCCAGGACTGTGGGTGCCCAGGAACACCCTTCTTCCACAATCTCTGAACTGTGCACTGGTTCATGCTGACAGGTCTCTCCTGAGCCTCAGAGAACGGGTGGTGAGGACTTGCCTGACTTCCAACATGCCTGGGTATCCCTTCTGTGTGGGCACGAGTGCCCCATGTACATATATTTTTAAGCCTTCTGCTTGGCTGCACGAATGGTGCCGAGAATGTCAGTGACAGAGCATAAGGCAGAAACTTATTAGCGGTGATATTTCTCTGGATCCTGGTGCTGCATTCGCTATTAGTTCTAATTCAGCGAACTCTACAAAAGCTTATTGTCCCCTAATGGGAAACTACAAACCGAGTTTGACTTCTTTATTAAAAACCAACAAGCAGTGGATGAAAAGGAATCACCTGGCCCCTCTCATCTGCCCCCTCTGCCTTCAGGAGCCCTCTTGCCTTATCTGCCTGTCTCCACCCCCAACCTGTGCAGTAAATGCTGCTATCAACCAACTACTTCATCTCCGCAGGGTCTGCCTTTTTTTTTTTCAGCTGAGAGAAAATCCTTTTGCTGGAGGGAGGAGGCAGCTTAGCCAAGTGACAGCTACTTAAAAGTCACCCACGTGCAAAATCAACCCAAAGGCGGTGACCTTTTCAAGTGTGGTCCTTAGACACAAGTGACTACCCCATCCAAAAGCTCAGCTCCAGAGAGGATGTTCACTCACGGCCAAGGTGACACCTGTCTTTGTTGCCCGACCCTCCTGCTACCAGGGGCCAGGGTGGACCCACAGGGAAAGTGCAGGGACCCTGCTGACCCACACGAGAGCTTTGAGGGAACTTGAAAATGGTGCCCCTTCCACTGGGCCAAGGTGACTCCACGCCAGGGCACACCCTGGCTTGCCAGGTGGACATCGAGGTGCATTCCTTCCCCCACCCAGCCCTGCACATGGAGTCCCCATTCCCTGGTATCAGGGAGGGAGGCTGAGGCTGCTGGTTACTCTTTATTCAAAGTGGATGAAGGGTTAGTTCAGTCCTCTGGCCCTCCTCTTTGTGGTTGCTCTGGTTCCATGTGAGGGGCTGAGACAAAAGGAGAAAGAGACCCTCCCTGGGACTCTTCCTTAACCAAACCAAGTGAGACAGGCACTGGTGACCCTGGGCCTGCTATGTTCCCCCACTGAGCCTCAGCTGCCTCATCTGTAAGAAGGGATGGAGAGAGACTGTGCAGTATGAAAGCACCTGACACAATACCAGAGCTCAGGAAGTTTTCATTCCATTTGGCCAGTCCTGCCTGCCCAGCCCTGGGCTGGTGGGGAACACCTCAGCTTATTTCCCTGAACATCCCCTATTCTCATTCTCATCCTCACCTTGACCCACTTCCCCAAAGCCCGGGGGGATCCTTCTCTGCCACGGAGTTCTCTGGAAATCCCACTTGTACTGGAGACAGCCTGGTGCGTGGATGCTACCAAGAGCATGCAGGTCTTTCTTATCAGCTGTGATAATGGCCCACAGGTGCGTGATCCCATTTAATCCTCATGAACAGATCATGAGGCAGTACCATGATTATCCCCGTTTTGCAGATGAGGAAACTGAGGCTCAGAGAGGATAAAAATCCTAGGTCACACAGCTAGAGGGTGGCAGAGCCGGTTTCAAAGTCATATGCCTCCAAAGGTGTGCTCCTCCCTCCATTCAGTGTTGCCATGGGGGCAGAGCAGGATTCACTGACACCTTCATATCTCTCCAGGACCTGACCCTGCACCTTGCACACAGGAGGAATTCACTGCTTGCTTAGGCAGCACAGAATACCAGCTGGGGGGAAGTGATGGGTGGGTCAGTCATGGTTATGAGTGTGGCCGGGATTTAGGGGTTGTGGGGGCTGTAGTCAAGAC